AGGAATTTGTTTTGTCTAAATTAAATTTAAAACTACATCCACTTCCAGATTCACATAAGTAATCCTCAGTTTTCAAGCTCATCACTGAATATATCCCTAAGATCTGTTCACTTGCAAGCAGGCTAAAAATGAGCTACCAGGACACTAAAAACCTCTCTATTAGGTCTAGGCTATCAGGACATTTAGGCCTGGCCTATTGTTTTTAATGTCCACAGCTCTTCTTTCCCCACAGCTGAAGCCTCTTAACCCTCGCCCCCACACTCCCCTTGCTGTGTCAACCCAGCGGGAATTTCTAAGATAAAGATTTAAATAGCTCTGGCTAAGTTGCTCTTGCTGCTTAACGGCAGGCCCTGACCTTGTATCTAATAACTTCGCTTCTTGTTCCTGCATTCCATAGGACTAACCCACCCTCTACGTCAATTCTGATAAGGAACCTTAGATTCTCTCTGGATAACTTGCTTCTAACTCCTCAGGGGCTGAGGTGCTGCCTTGCTCTTGGCAATCTTCCAGGAGACTGGAGGTCATTCTGCATCCAAATGGCCAGAGCAGGTCAGGGAACATGGATGCCAGTGTCAGGCTACTCATATACCCTGAACCACCAGCCCTGAAGACCTCAGCCCTTTCCTCCTGACACATGCACTCCCTCCCAGCTGCAGAGGCTGGATCTGCTGCCCTCAACTTTGAGCTGGGGGTTCCAGGCCCAGTACCTCAGGACTCATGAGGAAATGACTCATCACAAAAAGCTGAGGGTCCTCTGGCCAGAACACAAGTCATGAGATCTGGATCTTAGCTGTCAAAAAATGTCAAAAAACAAAACCTCAACAACAAACTGAGAAAACAGGATCTCTCTCTATCTGGAGAATTCAACATCCCAATGTTGGCTTTAGGGATGGTGAAGCCACTGAATCCCTCCTTTACTAGTTCTAAGGTGAAAACTGAGGAAAATCAGAGAAATGCCTGCAACTGTGTCTCTTCTGAGTAGAGGAGAATCAGAGAGCTTCTTATCAACCACTTCAAAGCTAACACTCATGGTTACTGAAATTACAACTATGAGATAACTTCTGTCCTAGGAAATCAAGTCATCTTCTAAAACAAAGCTAAACATGTTATCTGCATTTTTATCAATATTCTTTAAAGATCCAGACAATGTAAAAATCCTAGGTGGTTAAACTGTCTTACACTTTAGAGTAACATAAAAAACAGCAACCTTCGTTTTCTGGTCAGGTTATTTTTGTAATACCTCTTAAGTTCTACAAAATTCTAGCATTTTTTGCTTTCTACTACTATTCTGTAGAAAGATGTTCCCCCCTTGGCTTCATATCTTTCCTTTGTTAACAATCCAGAAAATTCCAACCTTGCAATGTTTTTTTCACCCCTGGGAAGGAATAACACACAGTCACTTAAAAACCAAAAGCAGTGTCAACACTTCCTCAGTGACACAGCTGTTGTGAATGACCAGGGAATAAAAGGGTTTTTGCAGGGAAATGGACTTCTCTCCAAAATAATTCTTAATGTTATTGAAGACATGATCAAAAAGAGTAGAGGCCTGGTACAGTGACTCACACCTATAATCCCAGCACTTTGGGAGGTCAAAGCAAGAGAACTGCTTGAGGCCAAGAGTTCAAGACCAGCCTGGAAAACACAGGCGGCCAAGCGCGGTGGCTCACGCCTGTAATCCCAGCACTTTGGAAGGCCGAGGCGGGTGGATCATGAGGTCAAGAGATCGAGACCATCCTGGTCAACATGGTGAAACCCGGTCTCTACTAAAAATACAAAAAAAAAATAGCTGGGCATGGTGGCACGTGCCTGTAATCCCAGCTACTCAGGAGGCTGAGGCAGGAGAATTGCCTGAACCCAGGAGGCGGAGGTTGCGGTGAGCCGAGATCGCGCCATTGCACTCCAGCCTGGGTAACAAGAGCGAAATTCCGTCTCAAAAAAAAAAAAAAAAAAAAACCACACAGGCATGGTGGCACATAACTGCAGACCTAGCTACTTGGGAGGCTGAGGCAGCAGGATCACCTGAGACTGGGAGTTCAAAACTAGCCTGGGCAACACAGTAACACCTTATCTCTATACAAAATTCTTTAAATTAGCTGGGTGTGGTGGCATGCACCTATAGTCTCAGCTACTCAGAAGGCTAATGTGGGAGGACTGCTTGAGCCCAGGAGTCGAAGGTTACAGTGAACTATGATTGTGCCACTGTACTCCAGCCTGATTGACAGAGCAAGACTCTGACTCTAAAAAATAATAATATGACATTAGTTAAGCAAGAAGTACTAAGTACTTATGATAAAGCACAGTTAAAATACTCAAACTATATGGATACCTGATTTCAAGAGAGGATGCCGAGACAGGAAACAACCCACTCTGTACGCCATGAATTACATGGAACAATGCGCATATTCCATGTTACAAACCTTCATAAAAAAACTGAGGCATATGATCAAACAATCTCATTTCTGGGTATTTATCCAAAAGAATTGAAGTCAGGATCCCAAAAAGCTATTTGCACTCCCCACGTTCACTGCAGCATTATTCACAAAACCAAAGTGTAGAAGCATCCTAAATATTCACTCACTGATGAATGTATAAACAAAATGTGATATATATATACATACACACACAATGGATTATTCAGCCATGAAAAGGAAATCCTGATACATGCTACAACATGAATGAACCTTGAAGACATTATGCAAGAGAAATAAAACAGTCACAGAGGACAAATAGCACGATTCCACTCTTATGAGGCATATAAAGTAGTCAAACTCAGCCAGGTGCTGTGACTCACACCTGTAATCCCAGCATTTTGGAAGGCTGACTTGGGAGGATCACTTGAGGACATGAGTTCAAGACCAGCCTGGGCAACACAGCAAGCTCTCCATCTCTACAAAAAAATTTATAAATTAGCTGTGTGTAGTAGCACATGCCTTTAGTCTCAGCTGCTTGGGAGGATCACTTGAGCAGAGGAGTTTAAGTTACGGTGAGCTACAATCAAGCCACTGTACTCTCTAGACTGGGCAAGAGTGAGAGACCCTGTCTCAATAATAATAATAATCAAAAATAAATAAATAGTCAAACTCATAGAAGTAGAGCAGAACGGTGAATGCCAGGAACTTGGGGAGAGAGGAAAATGGAGAGTTGTTTAAAGAATATAAAGTTTCAGTCACAGAGGATAAAATCATTCTAGAAGTCTGCTGCATAACATTATGCTTATAAGTTAACAATACTGTACACTTAAAATTTTGTCAGGAGGTAGATCTCATGTGTTTTGTTTTCTATCCAAAAGATTTTTAAAATATGAGTATATAAACTCAAGGATTTAGATTACATTGGCTTCAAAGTTCTTGTCCTTTCTACTGTTTCATTTTGTCTACACTCAAGAGAAGTATAAACAGTAAACATCAGGCTGGGCGTGGTGGCTCACACCTGTAATCCTAGCACTTTGGGAGACCAAGGCAGGCAAATCACATGAGGTCAGGAGTTCAAGACCAGCCTGGCCAACATGATGAAACCCCATCTCTACTAAAAATACAAAAATTAGGCAGGTGTGGTGGCACATGCCTATAATCCCAGCTACTTGGGAGGCTGAGGCAGGAGAATCACTGGAACCCGGGAGGCAGAGGTTGCAGTGAGGTGAGATCATGCCATTACACTCCAGCCTGGGCAAAAAGAGACTCTGTATAAAAAAAAAAAAAAAAAAAAATTAGCATATGCTATGGTTTGAATGTGTCCCCCACCTTTTATATGTTGGCAGCTTAATCCTCAAATTCCTATGTGGAGTGGAGGTGGGGCCTTTGGGAGGAAATAAGGATGAGATGAGGTCACTGGGATGGGGTTCCCCTGATAGAACTGGGGGCTTGAGAAGAAGAGGAGAGACTTGAGCTGACATGCATACTCTTGCCCTCTCACTATGTGATACCTTCTGCTATGTTATGAGGCAGGAAGAAGTCCCTCATTTGAAGCCAAGCAGATGCCAACATCATGCTTCTGGACTTCACAGCCTCCAGAACTGTGAGAAATAATTTTTTCTTTTTTATAAATTACCCAGTCTGTGGCATTCAGTTATAGCAACAGAAAATGGACTAAGACAGAAAATAGGTACCAAGAATGAGGTCACTGCTATAACAGCTGAAAATGTAGAAGTGGCTTTGGAACTGGGCAGTGAGGCTGGAAGGGTTCTAAGGAGTAAGCTAGAAAAAGCCTATAATTGCTGTAAGTGGAGCATTAGGGGAGATTCTGATGAGGGCTCAGAAGACAAGAGCTAGGGGAAAGTCTGAATATTCTTCAAGATTGCTTCAGTGGTCATGGCCAAAACGTTGGTAGAAATTTGAACAGTAAAGGCCATTCTGACAAGGCCTTAGACAGAAATGAGGAACAAAGTATAGGAAACTTGAGTAAAGGCCATCCTTGTTACAAAGTAGCAACAAGCTTGGCTAAATTGTGTCCATGCCCTAGGTCTTTGTGAAATGCAGAGCTTGAGAGCAACAAACTAAGATACCTGGCAGAAGAAATACTTAATCAGCAGAGCATTCAGGATGCTGCACGGTTATTTTTGACCACATCCAGTGAGATGTAAGAGCAAAGAAATGACTTAAAGGGCCGGGAGCGGTGGCTCACACCTATAATGCCAGCACTTTGGGAGGCCGAGGCGGGTGGATCATGAGGTCAAGAGATTGAGACAATCCTGGTCAACATGGTGAAACCCCGTCTCTACTAAAAATACAAAAATTAGCTGGGCATGGTGGCGCGTGCCTGTAATCCCAGCTACTTGGGAGACTGAGGCAGGAGAATTGCTTGAACCCAGGAGGCGGAGGTTGCGGTGAGCCGAGATCGCGCCATTGCACTCCAGCCTGGGTAACAAGAGCGAAACTGTGTCTCAAAGAAAAAGAAAAAAAAAAAAAAAAGAACTGACTTAAAGACAAAATGTATAATTAAAAGGAAAACAGTATGGGAAGACTTCAGTACTCTGTAGTCTGAACACATAAAGATTGAAAAAGGTGCTTCCTTCAGCTGCACATATACTAAAACTGGACCAATACAGAGAAAATTGGCATGGTCCCTGTGCAAGGATGACATGCAAGTTCATGAAGCATTACATGTTTAAAAAAAAATAAAGAGTGAAAACATGTGTTCAGGAGAGGAAACAAGGCTGTGGCTAGGTGATCATTTGTTAAGGAGATTACTATTGATAGATGAAATTATCAAGAGAATGAGAAAAAGACAACTAGCATTTCAGAGATCTTTGAGGCTGTCCCTCCCATCACTGGTCCAGAGCTCTAGAAGGGCGGAATGATTTCAGGAGAAGGACCCAGGCACCCTCCATGGGGTTGCTGCCCAGGGCCCCCTTGGGTCTCTGCTTTCTGCATTCCATGCAGCACTCCTCAGCCACTCCACCACTCAGCAACCCGAAGTGCAGCTCCACCCAGCACTCTCGGAGGTACAAGCGGCACAGACTAGCAGCATGTACAAGGCTCAGGCTATTCCGAGCCACCTTGGGTCTCTACAGAGTCCCTACCAGCAAGAAGGCCCTCCCAGATATAGCCTCAAGATACTGGACTTCATCATTTCCAAAACTGTAAGAAATAAATTTTCTTTATAAATTGCTGAGTCTCGGGTATTCAGTAATAGCAAGAGAAAAAAACAGCATATAATTGAAGGCTAGAGTGTGGTGTAGAAAAAATGGAGAGGGACAGGAAGCCAAAGAAGCTGAGGTCATCTAGGAAAGCCTCAAAAAAAAAAAAAAAAAAAGACAACATAGGCCCAACCCTGAAGGATCAGCTGAGGCTGCAGGGACTGCTACAAGGTCCAGGCCAAGAAGACATGTTAGGCAACAGCTTTTAAAGGCTGAGGAGGACATGACATAAACACTGGAAGCTAAAAACTGAAGCAAGGCCAGACGCAGCAGCTCACACCTGTAATCCCAGCACTTTGGGAGGCCAAGACAGAAGGACTGCTTGAGGCTAGGTGTTCAAGACTATGCTGGACAATAGCTACACCATATCACTACAAAAAAATTTAAAAGTTAGCCAAGAATTGTGGGTACCCCCATAGTTCCAGCCATTGGGAAGCTGAGGTAAGAGGATCACTTCAGCCCAGGACTGGAGGCTTCAATGAGCTATGAGCATGCCACTATACTCCAGCCTGGGCGATAGAGTGAGACCCTGTCTCTACAAAAAAATAAAAATAGCAAAAAACACTGAAGCAAAAGCAAAGGAATTGGTCAGAGTAACCTAAACCATTTATAATCCAGCTCTCAGAATTTGAATGTTCACTGCATCCCTGAAAAGGCCTTTATATATAATAAATAAGCAATAAAGAAAGTTTTAAGGTACAGCCCTCCAGACTGGCTCCATGGGGCCAGTATGATCAGTTAAATGATCAAAAATAAGACCAAATAAATAGCATAGCATTTCCAAAGAAATAAATAAAAATATGGTATTATAGTGAAGCCCCATGTATCCAACAGCCCTGAAAAATGTAGTGTGCCAAAAAAAAGAATCCCTTAGATAATGAAACCTGTGTTAATGGGAGAAATCTACATATGGACTGGGTATTGATGAGTTTTAGGGAATTATCCTCATTTTGTTTTGTGTTAATGGCATGGGGGGGATCTTTAGTAATGAGTTACAGATACATACTATTTACAAAGGGAATTACATAATGTCTGGAATTTGCTTTAAACTGCTGGGGATAAAATATAGATCAAAGGTTGCAGTTATGCAGAATGAATATCTAGAAAGCTAATGTACATCATGAAGACTATAGTTAATAACATTGTATTGTTTACTGGAACTTTGTCAAGAGAGGAGATTTTAGATACTCTTACCACAAAAAAGAAAGAAAGGTGACTATACGAAATGATGGGAATGTTAATTTGCTTGACCATAGTAATCACTTCACTATGTATATGTGTATCAAGCTAAATACAGTTATGGGTGGCTTAATGATAGGGATGGAGAATGGAAGGTGCGGGATTCAGCATCAGCATCACTGTGTGAATGTGAGAGTGTACTTACACAAATCTACAAGCCTGGGCTATATGCTAGAGGCTGTTGCTCCTAGGCTATAAACCAGAACAGCATGTTAACTGTCCTGAATACTGGAGGCAAATGTAGCACAAGGGGAAGTATTTGTGTATTTAAACGTACCTAACATAGAAAAGGCACAGTAAAAACATGATCTAAATATGATCTGAAAGATTTTTTTGAGATAGTCTCACTCTGTCACCCAGGCTGGAGTTCAGTGGCACAATCTTGGCTCATTGCAGCCTCTTCCTCCCAGGTTCAAGCAATTCTCTTGCCTCAGCCTCCTGCGTAGCTGGGATTACAGACACTCACAGCCATGCCTGGCTAATTTGTATATTTTTAGTAGAGATGGGGTTTCACCATGTTGGCCAGGCTGGTCTTGAACTCCTGATCTCAAGTGACCTGACTGTCTCAGCCTCCCAAAGTGCTGGAATTACAGGCAAGAGACACCACGCCAGGCCTAAAAGATTTTTTAAATGCTGCAGCATAGAGTACTCACCACAAATGGATTTTGCAGGACTGCAAGTTGCTCTGGGTGGGTCAGTGAGTGGAGAGGTGAGTGAATGTAAAGGTCTAGGACATTACCATACACTACTGAGACTTTATAAACACTGTACACTTAGGCTACATTAAATTTATTTCAAAAATAAGGTAACTGTACTATAACATTATAATGGCTACCATGTCACTAGGCAGTAGGGATTTTCCAGTTCCTATTATAATCTTATGGGACCACCATTGTATATGCATTCCATGTTGTTGGCACGTGACTATATACAAAAACATCAGGTTGTAGACCTTAAATATATACACTAAAAAATAAACTGCTCCAACCCAAAAAAAAAAAAGCAACATAGGGCTACTGAAACAAGATTGACGAAGTGTTGATATTTGTGAAGCTGGCTGGTAGATACACGATGGTTTGTTATATGCCTCATTATCTGTATATTTTTGACGATTTCTTTCTTTCTCTCTCTCTCTCTGTCTCTCTCTCTCTCTCTCTCTCTCTCTCTCTCTCTCTCTCTCTCTCTCTTTCTTTCTTTTTAAGATGTAGTCTCACTCTCTCTCCCAGGCTGGAGTGCAGTGGCATGATCTCAACTCACTGCAATCTCCGCTTCCCGGGTTCAAGTGATTTTCCTGCCTTGGCATCCTGGGTAGCTGGGACTACAGGCGAACACCATCCCACCGGCAATTTTTTGTATTTTTTTTCTTTTGGAGACGGAGTCTCGCACTGTCACCCAGGCTATAGTGTAGTGACATGATCTCAGCTCACTGCAATCTCCGCCTCTTGGGTTCAAGCAATTCTCCTAACTCAGCCTCCCAAGTATCTGGGATTACAGGCGTGTGCCACCATGCCCAGCTAACTTTTTTGTATTTTCAGTAGATATGGGATTTCACCATGTTGGCCAGGATGGTCTTGAACTCCTGACCTCAGGTGATCCATCCACCTCGGCCTCACAAAGAGCTGGGATTACAGGCGTGAGTCACCGCACCCCGCCTTATTTTGACAATTTCTATAATGACTTTTCAAAGCCATGAGTGGCCAGGAGCCATGGTGCATGCCTTTAATTCCAGCACTTTGGGAAGCCAAAGGGGAGGATTGCTTGAGCTCAGGAGTTTGAGACCACCCTGAACAGAATGATGAGATCTTATCTCTTTCAAAAATGCAAAAATATATCTGGGCACAGTGGTATGCGCCTGTGTTTTCAGCTACTCAGGAGACTGATTAGAAGATCGCTTGTGCCCAGAGGGTGGTGGGTGCAGTGAGCCGAGATCATACCACTGCACTACAGCCTGGGTGACAGAGCAAGACTCTGTCTCAAAAAATAGGCCATGGGTTACCAATTTGGTGTAAAGTTTTCTCTAAAATTTGTCAGAGTCTGTCTATTTTACATATACAGATCTCTCTCGCTCTCTACCTAGAACATCCTTTTATTCTACCTGGACAACTCCTATTCACTCCCCATGACCACAAGGCATTCCTTTCACTCAGAAGCAGAAGTCTCAATTTTCCCTATGCTTCCACTATATGCCACTCATCCCATTAGGTAACCCTTAATATACTGACTTATCTTTGTATATGAAACCATGTGCCCTCCTAGGCTGTGAACAAGGAAGGGACCCTAATGTGTTTATCATCACACACTGGCCCCTGGTATATAGTATGCACCTGATGAACATTCGGGTCATGAATAAGACCTAGCCCAAAGTCATCAAAAACCTAGTTGTCCTGCCAAGAGATCTTAGGAATGTCTGTCAAGCCGTACAGTCTGTGTGCTTCCCAAGCTGATGATCTTACCCAGTCAGGCATGCCAGCTTCTCCAGGCCACCTCTATTTCTACTTTCCAGCTTGTCATTTCTTATGAATAGAACCCTGGAACAAATGTCCTTAATTCAAGTGGCCTCCAGATCAAAAACAAAGAGGTCCTAGGCACACACTTAGGAGAAAGGTACATACACGCTGGCACGTACCCTATACATGCACTACGTATTCTGAACTGCTCAGAGGGCTTCCCTGCTTAACTCCCAAGTTGCAACTGTGAATGCGATAACAATAGTGTCAGATCAGACAGGGTGGCATTCTGGCCACACCTCCTGGATGACACTACTCCATCAGCCTTCAACAGCGTTCAATGATAAAAACAGGAATACCACCAAAGGTTTCTGGGAGCAAGTAAAATTATATGTATCAGGATTTCAAATTTTTAAGTAACAGAGCTCTTTTTTCCACAGTTCTGAAATACTGAAAAAGACACTCATCTCTCGATTAATTTATTGTCAAAATTTTTCAGCTGTCTTAATTTAAGATAGGTTTTAAGGTTTTTAATTTTTTTAAAGGGGACTTTACATGTTCCTGAGAATTCTCAATTATTCCTCAAACTTGGACTTATGACCTGTATATCAGATTCTAGCCCTTAATTATATGCCAACCTATACTGTTTATATATCTCTTGAATGTGGACAGTATAGTAAAGCAGAAAAGACTGAAAGTTTGAGGAAAAAAAATTGAACTGAAGTTTAGCATTTCCTTAAATTTTAATTTCAGTTGTATTCTACTAAATTTAAATTAAGTTACCAT